GTCCTCGCAATACAAACTGAAGATGGTTATATAGATGATTTAAATACAATTTTGAAAAATATACCGAGGTCACATACCAATCTCAACCACATCAGTGACTAGGAAGAAATCAACCAAGACTTTTGTCAGTTGATTAGACACCCAAACTGAGCCAATTTTGGAAGGACCAGATCCCTGGCTAACAGATAACTCTGACAACAGGGAGACCAAATCAGCCAGTAGTAGAGGTACGCAGGAATGCTAGACACCAACAATCCAAAGATGGGGAAGCATCACCCAACTAAATTTGGTGATGATTCTAGGCGAAGATTATGCTAAACAGATGAGCCTGAAAATAGCAACAGACATGCCCAAATTTGATTTCTAGCCAATTCCTGAACCGAGGTTGAACAAGAATTTCTTGGATCCAACATTTTGACTGCCCAGTTTTTGTACCACAAGCAGGAGAAAATTAATAATGAAGATGATAGCACGGTTGCTTTCATACACTAACACAATGTCAGATGGTTACAGATGAATGGCGCACACAACTGGGGTTCAGAGACAAAGTGCCACAACCACACTTCATAAAGGCACAAGCCATATTGATAAATACAGGTGCTGTTTTAACTACCTAGGTTACAGGATACAGTCACATACCCTTAGCTATTTGTAGTATAGTCAATGGTTACCTTACCTTGAGGTGCTTCCGGGGCTTAGTGTCCCCGCGGCCCGGTCGTCGACCAGGCCTCCTGGCCTGGTGAGCAAAGTGAATCAACTGGATTACTGGGAACTGTTTACCATATCCCCATGTAATACAGACTGTAGAATAATGCCTATCAACTACGACAATGGACTAAGTGGTGAAATTTGGGCAACCACTAAATATTAGCACATCAAGGCAAGGTAATTATCAGGAGAAAGCACCAAGCCTATAAGAACAAAAATAACTGCAGAAGGCCTTTTGGTCCATACGAGGCAGCTCCTATTTATAACCACCCAATCCCACTCATATACATGTCCAACCCACACTTGAAACAATCTAAAGACCCCACCTCCACTACATTTTGCGGTAAATGGTTCCACAAATCAACAACCCTGTTACTGAACCAGTATTTACCCAAGTCTTTTCTAAATCTAAACTTATCCAATTTATACCCATTGTTTCATGTTTTGTCTTGTGTTGATACTTTTATTACCCTATTAATATTCCCTTTGTTATGTCCATTCATCCACTTGTAAACCTCTATCATGTCACCCCTAACTCTTCGCCATTCCAGTGAATGTAATTTAAGCTTTGTTAATCTTTCTTCATATGAAAGATTTCTAATTTGGGGAATTAACTTTGTCATCCTACGCTGGACACTTTCAAGTGAATTTATATCCATTCTATAGTACAGCGACCAAAACTGAACTGCATAATCTAAATGGAGCCTAACCAGAGCAAGATATAGCTGAAGAACACCACCAGGTGTGCAGGCGACGAGTCACAATAACGTGACTAAAGTATGACCAGACCACACACTAGAAGGTGAAGGGACGACGATGTTTCGGTCCATCCTGGACCATTTTCAAGTTGATTGTGATCATGTCGATTGTGACAATCGACTTGAGAATGGTCCAGAACGGACCGAAACGTCATCGTCCCTTCACCTTCTAGTGTGTGGTCTGGTTAACCACACCAGGTGTCTTGTTACAAACGCTTCGATTAATAAATCTCAGTGTCCTATTTGCCTTATTACGAACATTCATGCGTTGATCCTTTGATTTTAAATTCTTACTAATCATAACTCCCAGATCCCTTTCACAATCCGACTTTGCAATCTCAACACCATCCAGCTCGTATCTTGTAACTATTATCATTATCTAGCCTCAAAACTTTACATTTATCAGCATTAAATTGCATCTGTCAATCTTTTGACCATTTCAAAACCCTATTTAGATGAACTTGAAGTGATAGTGAGTCTTCTTCCAACTTAATTTCCCTACCGATTTTTGTATCATTGGCAAATTTGCAAATGCTGCTACTCAAACCTGAATCAAATATATTATAAACAACAGAGGTCCCAGGACAGAGCCTTGAGGCACACCACTAACAACATTATCCCACTCTGACTTAACCCCATTTATACTAACTCTGTTTCCTTTGGTATAGCCATGTCCTAATCCAACTTCATATAGCACCCCTAATATCATGAGCCTCTATCTTTTTAATCAGTCTTTCATGTGGCACTGTATCAAAAGCTTTGCTAAAGTCAAGGTACACAACATCACATGATATGGTGTTTAACAGCATGGACCCTGGGGACTGAATGTCTTACCAAATTAATCAAAATTGCAAGGAAGCACCCTTGAAAATTTAGAACCTAATATTTAACTACATTACCATGCATTACATAGAAAATATTTAACTATGGCACACATTTGATTACTAAATAATTGCTATGAGCCATAAAAAAACATCATTGGTGTCACATCAACTCTAGTCATCTAACCTTTGGATTAGGTTTACATTCCGAGGTTTAATTTCCATTTGGGAGTCGAGCTAAGTTCGTAAGTCCCAGTTTGGCCACAAATCCCTATCTCTAGAGGAAGGAATACACTTAATATTTCTTGCTCACTGGCCAAAAGAGGTGGCTTCACAAGCCACACTCAACTGCACTCCATATTGCTGGAGAATAATACAATACAGTCATCTTGGGAAAGTGGTGTTTAGGGAAGCTGTACATAGCACAGTGGTGGACACTGCAACCAGGAACATATGGCGTACTGTTGCATACTCTACCACATACACATTATGCACCATTGCATACTTTACCCTGACACAATATGCACTGTTTCATACTGCACCGGGTACAAGAATGCACTGCACATATTACCTGATTGATACCTGCTTGATGGGGTTCTAGGAGTTGTTCTACTCTCCAAGCCCAGCCCGAGGCCAGGCTCGACTTGTGAGAGCTTGCTCAAACAGGCTGTTGCTTGGAGCACCCTGCAGGCCCACATATCCACCACAGCTCGGTTGGTCCGGCACTCCTTGGAGAAAATGATCTAGTTTTCTCTTTATGTCCACGGTTGTTCCCACAATATTTCTTATACTCGCTGGAAGGATGATGAACAACCGTGGACCTCTGATGTTTATACAGTGTTCTCTGATTATGCCTATGGCACCCCTACTCTTCACTGGTTCTATTCTGCATTTTCTTCAATATCGTTCACTCCAGTATGTTATTTTACTGTGTAGATTTGGGACCTGGCCCCTCTAGTATTTTCCATGTGTATATTATATGATCTCTCTCTCTCGTCTCCTTTCTAGTGAATACATTCGGAGAACTTCGAGATGATCCCAATAATTTAGGTGCTTTATCGCGTATATGTATGCCGTATATGTTCTCTGTATTCCCTCTATTTCAGCAATTTCTCCTGCTCTGATGGGGGAAATGAGTACTAAGCAGTACTCAAGATTGAACAGTACAAGTGATTTGAGTAGTACAACCATTGTGATGGATCCCTGGATTTGAACGTTCTCATAATCCATCCTATAATTTTTCTGGCTGATGCAATATTGTCTTGGTTATGTTCCCTAAACGTTATGTCGTCAGACATCATTATTCCCAAAACCTTTACATGTTGCTTTCCTACTATGGGCATATTTGATTGTGTTTTGTACTCTGTAATGTTTAAAGACCTTATTTTTACCATACCTGAGTACCTGGAATTTATCGCTATTATACATCATGTTACTTTCTGTTACCCAGTCAAAAACTTTATTAATATCTGCTTGAAGTTTTTCAATGTCTTTAGCAGAGGTAATTTTCATGCTGATTTTTGTGTCATCTGCAAAGGATGATACAAAGCTATGACTTGTATTTTTGTCTACATCTGATATGAGAAATAGAAAAAGCAGTGATGCAAGGACTGTACCTTGAGGTACAGAGCTTTTAACTGCACTTGGATTCAATTTTATATGGTTGACTGTTACTCTTTGTGTTTTGTTTGACAGAAAACCGAGAATTCAGTGTCCTACTTTACCAGTTATTCCCATTGTCCTCATTGTGTGTCCTATCACTCCATTGTCACATTTATTGAATGCCTTTGCAAAGTCCATGTACACCACATCTGCATTCTGTTTTACTTCTAATGCCTCACTGATTTTGTTGTAGTGGTCAAGTAGCTGTGAGAGGCATGCTCTTTTCACTCTAAATCCATGTTGGCCCGGGTTATGAAGTCATTGGTCTCCATGAAACTGGTGACCCAACTCCTGATCACACACCCAAATACTTTTCTTACATGGGACGTTAGTGCAACTGGTCTATAATTCTTTGCCAATGCTTTGCTCCCTCCTCTTCTGTAGAGGTGGTATGTCTGCTGATTTAAGCACATCTAGTATCTCCCCCGTGTCCAAGCTCTTCCTGCACACTATACTGAGTGCATGTGCTACAGCCTGTACTGGCACCTTACATTTCTTAATAAATATGGAATTCCCTGAATCTGGACCCGGAGCCAAGTGCATGGGCATGTTTTCCATTTCTCTTTCAAAATCTGCCACACTCATGTTGATATCAATTATATTTACAGGGTATGGATATCACGCATAAAGAAGTTGTCCGGATCTTCCACTTTTATGCTGTTTATTGGAGTGCTAAGTATGTCCTCTGCATCCAAACATTATGCACCCTGACACATACTACACATACAATGGGATGATAATGAGTTGACTGCACATAGAATGGGATGATAATGAGCTGACTGCACATAGAATGGGATGATAATGAGCTGACTGTACATAGAATGGGATGATAATGAGCTGACTGCACATAGAATGGGATGATAATGAGCTGACTGCACATACAATGGGATGATAATGAGCTGACTGCACATACAATGGGATGATAATGAGCTGACTGCACATACAATGGGATGATAATGAGCTGACTGCACATAGAATGGGATGATAATGAGCTGACTGCACATAAAACAATATGGCTACAACAAATGTACAGTATTAAAAAAAAACATCCATATTTTTACAATTTATCATTTATAAATCATACAATCACATATCTTCATCTGACTCAAGCTCTTCATCTTTAACTGGGTCTGCAATGCTCAGGCAAACATCAACAAACTCTGTGAAAATGGGCTCCATCATAGCCCTCTGAATGACAACGTCAGTCTTGTGTGCACTATCCACTTCCTTAATCATCTCTCTTAAATGGCAATTTTTCAGCAGAGTTTTAAGGACACTGGAACTACCTATATTAATGAAGAATACATATACAGTATTAAGTGTGTAATTATTAAATTACAAAATAAGCTAGAAAAACTTTTAACTATTTTGTATTGTTTCCATATAGCCTACAGTGTACAACATTAAGAGAATTAATACAATAGACAATTCAAATTCCAGAAAGTCTATTTAATAATGCCTAAACCATGTAGTCAATAATATAAAAATGAAACATAATTTGTAGTACACATCACAAAATTCCCAAATAGAAAACTCAGTAATGGCTGGTTGTAGTTGTGTTGTGGTTGTAGACGAGTCCCTATCTACATCACCAGTCCACAACTTTTACCGAGTTTGTGGTAGGGAGGCCTGCAGCACTGTGAATTTTTTGCTATTCTCTTGAGATATTTTGGCAAGTAATAATACATATTAACGTGTACAGTACAGTATTTCATTTATATAATTTTACATATACTGTAGATCATATTGATCAACTCTTAGTGTGCAAGTTATAGTGTATGCAATTTCTGGCTAGAATTTTAGTACAGGTATTGTACAAGGTACTGAAAGATCTTAATTTTGAAAATCTGGGAATCTTCTGGTCAAAATCATTCCAGATTTTTGACACCACTGCAGAAAGATGTTTTCCTTGTACAGTATAATATAATATCGGACATGCAGCTGTCTCTTTATTATTGATATTACTTCCTCTGGGAACTCCACATCTTTCAGGGTAGGAGGCAACCCCTTACACAATCTTTTCACTGTAATTATCAAGGTAACGAATATCAATACTGTATACAAAAACAGTAAATCTCAAGATTAAGGCAAAAATACCAAAATGGTCTGAATATGAAGAGTCTGAAGAAGATGAGACTGATCAAGAGTTCATTTGAGTGAATTTTAGGATAAGAGGACGAGGGGAAGGTTCAAAGGCGATTGGCAGGTATGTTGAGTGAACATGCGAAGAAGTAGAATCTAGTGTGAACAGTGCACAGGGATATGATAAGAGACAAGGCTTGGAAGCAGCACTGTGAAAAAAGACAGCATTTTTTGTTCAGTGTATGACAATTTATATACTGCCACTCAAGGAGGTGAAGTAAGCAAGGTATACAAGATCACGTAAACCCAAGAGGAAAAGCCACTACAAAGGTTAAGCATGGCAAAATACAACAATAGAAAATATGAAGAACCCTGACAACCAGGAACACAGTACAGGTACTGTAGTTAAGTCGTTACATGCATTAGTTACACACCTGCACTACCAGGTGACAGCCCTGGGAGTTAGGGTGTGATTGGGATCAACTGAGCACACATGCATTACCCAAATCATCACACAAGCTCAGCACAGCCCATGAGAGCACCCCAAAGCCCACAAGCCTGAAGAGAAGCTCAAGACATGTCAAAGAAACCAGTGTTGAATGTATTGAAATGTCAATTTGTGTGTGAGCCCTGATGGCTCCCTGAAACTACCATCTTTGATGCAGGTGCCAACTACTAGATGCCATCAGTTGCGAAGTTCTCTGGCCTACCGGAGACACAGCGCCAGAACCTGGTCCCCCTCACAGAAGCACAGGGAGCCGTGGCATTTATGGTCACCAGAAGAAGAGCTCCAAGTGCATTAAACTCCTGATCCACATGCACCAAAATGCAAGACACAACCACTAAGGCAAAAAGAAACCCCAAGAAAAACACTGAAGCTAGAGCAAGTGCACTTCACTACACACAGAAATCACACTAACGTGATGCATCAAATGAACAAATCCGTGTTCCAAATCCAAAGGCCGTGACGAATCCTCGTCACGGCCCTTGTGGATTTGTTCATTTGATGCATCACGTTAGTGTGATTTCTGTGTGTAATGATGTAAGGGCAAAGAGGGAGAACGGCCTATTGACATAGCTCGAGTGCAGGGGGGAGTTGTGTAAAACCCTGGTTTGTACCTTGGAGAGGCTGCGGGATCCAGTAAGTTCAGTAGAACTTTGGTTTCAACTCTTTTACCCTGTCGTAGCTCAGTCGATTAAGACAGTGTCTGGGATGCTCCCGGACGCAAGTTCGAATCCTCGTCACGGCCCTTGTGGATTTGTTCATTAGAGCAAGTGGCCTGACCCCCCCCCTCCCCCCAACAAGAGGGGGCGAACGTGCGGGCACTGGGTTATAACTTTTTCGGTAGTTTGTTTACATACTGTACTGTAGTTTGGAGAATTATACGGCTGTTTTCGAGTGTGTTGGTTCCTTGGTGGTGGCATAAATAAATAACTTAATATGTAAATACCACAGTTCCCTGCACCACTTTGAATTACCAGGTTCTGGTTGTGCGTCCCCGGTAGGCCAGAGAACTCTGCAACTGATGGCACCTACATCAGAGATGGAAGCTTTAGGGAGCTACCAGGATTATTCCCAGAAAGCATGTGATTGCAATCGGCATCAATGCCACACAGATATTGAGCACAAGGGAAGAAAACCCTGAAATGATGCAGCAGTGGTTAGCTATAATCAAACACAAAGTGAACGAGGCACCACATTGTTAAGTAAACAATGAAGCATGCGGGTACATTACAAGAAGTATAAAAAATACCCGGTCAATTTAATGTCTTTGCAGAGCCAAGTACTGTACTTCAAGGGATTGCCATCTCTGAAAACCCTGTTGTACTAACCCCCTGTGGTGATTGGTTTAGTAAATAGTTGGGTAACTGTATTTTCAAATTAGTAAATTTGCAATCCTTGCAGGCCTAATAGTTGGAGTAAATGCTTTATTTTGGTAGGTGGATTGAGGTATTCTCTCCACTCTCTCCCCACCCCTGAAATACAAGACAAGATCATTTGAAAAGTTACTTGGTCTTGTGGGGTTCGAGGTTTAACTGAACCCGAGATGCTATCAAGGATCTGGGTGGACAGCAACTAATGGAGCCATAATCAAAAGAAAAAAGAACATGCACTCGCTTATCACTGGCAACTCCTACTTTCCAGAAATATAAATTAAATTATTAGGAAATACAATTTAAGAATGAGTGATATTTTTAATGGGGTGGTGATTCTACATGACAGAACAACAACTTGTCAACAGGGAAAGCAGGGAGATCCCCAGCTGGATATTTGGAATGATTAGGGAACTAATGTCACAGAGATGGATTACTGGTAGACAATTTGAGTTCAATTGAAGTCAGATTGGTGTTATACGAGCTGTGTGTGTGGGCTGTGATTTTGAGCCAGGGCAGCCCCAGAATTTATTGACATAGAACGCTGAGGTGTGCAAATACATACAACATCATGGTACGATTAATTTATATTAATTCTACTGCTGATTGTTTTATCATCCTAATTTTGTGATATACAGTATATTGTGTATTTACAATATATCATCTTTCTAATTCTTAGGTAAATGTCTCATCAATTCATGTTGAGACATGCATTGTTGAGAAATTTACCTAAGAATTAGAAAGATATATTGTAAAGACAATATACTGTATACTGTATCACAAAATTAGGATGATAAAATAATCAGCAGTAGAGTTCGGTACTGACTCATGGAATTCAACATTCATAAGAAATCTGAAGTACCAGAGACAGACACTCACTCACCTTATGCTTATAACGCAATTTTTTATTTAGAATGATATTCGCCTGTTTAGTCAGCATTGAAATGCTTTGTACAAGTTGTTAAAAATTAACGTTTCCAATTCTGATAATAACAACGTTCACTTGATATGGTTATTGTGACTATACTTAATGTACTGTACTTTTTATGTACACTTTTTCTATTTACAAATGTACTACATTTACTACATTGATTGATAATAATGGAAACTTTAAAACTAGCTAAGGTGTTAAGTTGCAACACATTCATAAAAGAAACAAGTATATGGTAAGGTAAGTGTCTAAATATACAGTGAAGTGCATCAACCACAGTACAGTACTATATATTGAAATAAGTGAATGGGTTAAATAATGCTAAAAGAATTATTACACAAAAGGATAATTCAACTATACAAGGTTTGATAAATCAAAACATGATACACTTACGCAAGTTTTCCAATGTATACAGTGATACCTCATCTTTCGAATGCCCCTCTTTACGAACTTTTGAGGTTACGAGCCCAATTTCTTCGTAAAATCAGAATTGGATTACGAACTTTGCCTCAGGTAACATAGTTTGTTGACACGTGTATGGCCAACCTAACGTGTGGGGTCACGGCGACTGCGCCTCAGTTTACCAGGTCCTCCCGCCTAGTGACAATCGTGCTTGAATTCTTTGTAAAGAATTTCAGTGTTTTTGTAATTTTTGGGTATTTGAACATAAAAATTATTATTATATATATCACCATGGGTCCCCAAGAAAGCCAATGGTAAGGTTCAATCCAAGAAAACATGTGAGGATGTCCATAGAGAAAAACCAAAAGAGATCATTCGTAAACATAAAAATGGCACATGGGTTGTTGACCTAGATAGACAGTACAACAAATCTATGTCAACGATATGCACTGTAATTGCTAAGAAAAAGAACATTATGAGTGCTAAAGTGGCATAAGGCATATCAACAATCACAAAACAAAGAACACAAAACTTGAGGACATTGAAAAGTTGTTATTAATTTGGATACACGACAAGGAGTTAGGTGGTGATAGCATTTCAGAGACCATCATTTGTGAAAAAGCAAGGCAACTGTATGAAGACCTTTTAAAGAAAACCCCTGGAACAAGTGATGCAGATACGAAAGAGTTTAAGGCGAGCAGGGGATGGTTTGAGAAATTTAGAAAAAGAAGTGGCATTGACAGTGTTGTGAGAGGTGTGTGTGTTGAGAGTTGGTGGAGGAACACAGCGAAGAACTGACCATCGAAGAACTCCAAGCCCTTCACAAGGAGTAGCAACAAAAGAAAACTGAGGAAATTTCTTCAGGGGAGGAGGAGGCAGTATAGAATGTCCCTTCCTCAACTATTAAATATTGGTGTAGACTGTGGGAAGAAATGCAAACTTTTGTTGAAATGATTCACCCAGAGCAAGCTGTAGTAGGCCGTTGCCTTAACCTTTTTAATGACACTGTGATGCCTCCCTACAGACAAGTCTTGCAACATAGGGCAAAACAAGCCTCTATATAGATTTTTAGTGAGAAAAACAAGCAGTGAGCCATAAGCAGGTCCTAGTGGTATGCAGGCAAAACGTACCATAGAAAGTACCCAAGAGAAGTCATCAATGCTTGATGTTATAATGGAAGGAGACCCCTTCCAAACACTAACCTCCACTCCCCCTCCTCACTATCTTTCATACACCAACAAGTCATCAATAAAGGTAAACAATAACTTGTACATACTTTAGTACTAAAGATTTGGGTGAATTAGGTATAAAATTTACTTTGAAGTTAATATTTTTGGGAGTGTGGAATGGATTAATTCCATTTACATTATTTCTTATGGGAAAATTCGCTTCGATTTACGAATTTTCGGGTTACGAACCGTCTCTGGGAATGGATTAAATTTGTAGGCTAAGGTACCACTGTAGATGGTAAAGCCCTACTGAATGAATCAATTTTAATAAAGCAATAATTATGCTATAAGTTTGTGAAAAATAATTTCCTAAATAAATTAAAACTGCCACTCCCAAAGACATACTGTATTATATACATCACTTTTACACAACATGTTGCAATGTATAAACATCAGATTTTTGGGTGTTTTCTTACACCTGATGCCTGTGTTCACTTAAAAGTAAATAGAACTAGGTAATATCTTGAGGTTATCTTGAGACGATTTCGGGGCTTTAGTGTCCCTTCAGCCCGGTCCTCGACCAGGCCTCCACCCCCAGGAAGCAGCCCGTGACAGCTGACTAACACCCAGGTACCTATTTTTTACTGCTAGGTAACAGGGGCATAGGGTGAAAGAAACTCTGCCCATTGTTTCTCGCCGGTGCCCGGGATCGAACCCAGGACCACAGGATCACAAGTCCAGTGTGCTGTCCGCTCGGCCGACCGGCTCCCTCTATATAGTGAGAAAGGTACCTGGGAATTGGGCAACTGTTGTGGGTTGCAACTTGGGAAAGGTCAGACGTTGGCCTTGAGTAAATAAGCCTAAAAAGACTTCTTATCCCTAACAATGGTAAAATAATATCCCTTAATTATTATGAATTAAAAGTAAAAATGGTGTGAAAGCCCTTAAAGAAACAATTTATTGCCTTTGGCCACGTAGTGGAGACTATCTGAAACCATCCGAAATTTGGTTGAATTATGTTCAGTGATGTCTGAATGTAGCCATACAAGATTAACTTATTTACTCAAATGAATTTCGTTCCGTTTCTGAGTCTATCATGTGCCTCTTTAACCTTTTCCACTACCATCTAAAGGGTGGGTATGATGTGAATAATAAATGAAGTAAACTGTGTACAGAACAAACTTTTGCACTGATAAAATTATTGATTATTTTTATGAACAATGAAATGTTCTGACATGAAGTTGTAGGTGTGAGACAAGACCTTAAAGGGCAGATGTCTTGCACCAGAAAATACATCCTATACTGAAATGCCACAAAATGAAGACCATGTATTATTTATTTATAATTTGGATCTAGTAAAAAAAAAAAAAAAGCTATAATAATAGTAATAATAATTTATACACAAGAAGGTACAATGGGTTGGTGAGATTACATAAGATTGGTATTTGTACATTCTTGCTAAGCCACTAACACACACAGCATTTTGGGTAGGTCCTTATTTTTTGCCTAATTTATGATATACTTGCACATTCCTAATGTATAACACTTTGTGAATATGTCAAAACCAGTATCATTTAATAAGTTATAAAATGAGAATTTATGAATGAAAAACCAATGCATTAAATGCTATTTTGGTGGAGAAACTCTATTAAAACTTTAGAGAAACCTATGGACCAACAACTGATCTTCCCAAAAATTCAACGCAGGTACCTATTTATGGACAGGTGAACATGGACATCAGGTATCACAAATGTCTTGCCATGCCTACAAATTAAGCCCAGGATTAATTATTTGCAAGACAACAGTCTTATAATTTTCTATTCAATACAGTATGTATTTTGTTTTTAAGCTTTTCACATGCACTATGCTACAGGTCACTTGGCAACCCAGTCCCTAGGCAGCCCATCCTCATTAACAAAGGCCAAATGCTCGTTAATCCGGCCACCAAACTCCGTTCATGAATGAAAAATGATTTATGCACGACTCGACTGATGACGTGCAATCATTTCTCAAACAGTGCTTTGCTGGCAACCTCTGTTCAAACCGCTGTGTTGTAAATGCTTCAGCCACATACTTCAAATACAAATAATCGTCAACAGAACTTAAACACCTAACCTAACGTAACCTACATCTAACTATACACAGAACTTTAATATATAATAATATTAATATATAAATGATAAAACCTATTTTACATACTCATTATGTTAACATTGATCAATGTATCTTGGGAGGCCAACAGCCACTTTAACAATCCTGGCCTGAGGATGGGTTGCCTCAGAATATGCTCTTTCAAGCTGTGGCTAACCCCAAAGATTATTTTTTTGTAGTTTGCCCTTAGTTAAGTATTTAGATTTTATTGTCAATTATTTTTATTCACAGTACGTGGGTAAAGCATTCTGAGATAGTCACATCGTACACAAACAATTCGCCAACAGATTTTCAAACCTATCCTAACTCAACCCAACCGAGCCTAATACAGCCTAACCTACAATACAATTTTATTTAGGTAAGGTACATACATACAATAAATAGTTAAGTACCTAACCTAATATAGCCTAGTATAATAATATATATGGTATTAAAGACAAAAAAACGAGCGTTGTCGAATCGTCTCGTGTCAGAAACGACCAAACCCCATTCAGAGAGGAGACATTTATCCTTAACAATTGCAAATCCTTAACTGTAGCCTGTATAACTCAACAGTAAAATGGGTACCTGGTTGTTGAACGATGTTTCAATCAATCAATATCAATCAATTTAAAGAAAGGATGTGACCACTGTTCAAGAAATTTGAAGGGCATCAATTGTGAGCAAGTTTGATTGGTTGGATTGAGTTGTTGTTAAAGATTTAGTTACTCAGGACGAAGTGCCCATGTAGCACGGGCTATTGTGAGCCCGTAAATGGATTGAGAATTTGGTCATTATTTATGAGAGGCTGGTGTGGGTGCACCAAGCTCAGGTACAGAGGTGTGACACGAGACATATACTTACTATTTCACTCTGCACTTGGGACACTTGTACTTGGAGACAGCTTCAGTGCACACTTGACACTTATTGACCACACCATCCATCGTTTGAAATTATTCACTAAATATTACTACTTCAACTGATTTGGAGGCGGGTCCAAAGATGTGTCCAAAGATGTAAGGTGATCAGAAGGAGGGTGTGTGATATAGGTGTGGGGCGAGGAGCCCCGGGCGCCGGCCACACCAAACACTCAACACTGGCTGCTGCTCCCTGGCCAGGGTTGCCTGGCCCAAATTGCTGAAAGTAGCGAGCTGAGAGTCTAAAAGTAGCGAATTTGCAATAAGAGTAGCCCAATTTTTTGTTTAGTGACTGATACAGGTTTCAAAGTAATATATTTTAATATATTGAGTACACTACACGATTTTGAAAGTTTCAGCATTACTTGGAATACGAGAAAGAAGCTCTATGCAAGCTTTCACTTAAATATTATGGCATCTTTCTTGAATATTTAGAAACTTTTCCTGGGTTATAAAATTGTTTTGTCTGTTAGTTGCCTGAAGTGTTGAAAATTCGTAACCAAAGTCCACTTTCTCCAGAGGCAGACATATGTAATTGTAGTCCAAATAAACATGAAGCTTTGCATGATGAGGATGCATGATTCTTCTGAGTATTCCAAGAGTGAAGTTTTCTAAGACAGTGTGAAGGCTACACTGATCTGCTTCGTCTTTTTGATAAAGTCAATTCATACTTTCAAAAAGATTTAGGATTGGTCTGAGAAATGTGAAATATAGCTAATTGGGGGATCAGAGTACATTGAATAAGTTGCCTTGTAACATATTTATCACAAGACTTCAACAAAATCTTGTAGATCTGAGGCAAAGTGAAATTGACACCAGTAATTCCATCTATCATCATACTATCATGCAAGAGGAGCCACACATCTATGGATCATCCAATAAAATCAGTAGACTTCTAGATGTTACTACTACTCGGCTTAGACTCGGTTACAAGTATCTCTGGGAATTTTCATTATCTGCCGATGTAGACCTGACCAAATGTAAACTGTGTCAACAAAATTATTCGCACACCCTCCGTCACTATGTGATGGAGTGCGAAAAGATAAGTGAATTTAGAGACAATTCTATAACTAATGTTCCAGAGATGTGTAAATATTTCATTCAAAATGATCTGCTACCAGAAATTTTAGCCAAATATCCCCAGTTTGCTAACTGTAGGTAGTAACTAAGTGATTGTAACCTATCCACCGCTGCCCACTGGATGGGGGGCGGTGTATAGGACAAACATATCAATTGTGACACTAGCTCTCCACATATGTCAGTTGCTTAATTTAGAACCTATACTTGAGGTCGATCTCGAACCCATTGTTGATGTGACGACTTATATTGAATTTTGTAACTAGCTCATCAAGATTGTAACTTGCTTAGCTAAATGAATTGTGGGGTTCAGTCCCTGAGCCCATTATGTGCCTCTGTAACCCTTTCCACTACTGCCCACAGGATGGGTATGGGGTGCATAATAAATGAACTAAACTAAACTATCACAAGAGCAAGAAGCGATTTGGTAATGAGTTGTTAAAGAATCCCACTGATCTAACAGACACTTTACACTACCGCTCCTTGCCAACCATCGTCTTCCTGACAAAGGTATTAACTGTAAAGGATGTTACCTAAATAAAATTATTATTATAGGATTATTTATCAATCATTTATCAATCTATCATTTCTAGATAACGTTCTCTCCTTAATGAAGATCTGTGGAACCAGATGCAACTTTCGGGATGAAGTATTAACGACAATTAAGGTTGAGAAATCTATGGTCCCTGGGGAGGATTTCTTTGCCTTGCGGTTACTTTTTCTTTCAAAGGTTCCTAGGATCAACGTCCTCAGAAGGCCGGTCTCTGACCAGGCCTCCTGTGGTAAGTGGTCTAGTCAATCAGTCTGTTTGATGCGGCTGTGATTTGTACACATTACATTATAAAAGTATAAATAATCATCATTCAGTTTGTTAATTAACATTACTAGCCCAACTTGCTTTTAAACTTGCTTTTTTTATGCAGTCTCCGTGGTGTAGTGGTAAGACACTCGCCTGGCGTTCCGCGAGCGCTATGTCATGGGTTCGTATCCTGGCCGGGGAGGATTTAATGGGCGCAATTCCTTAACTGTAGCCTCTGTTTAACGCAACAGTAAAATGTGTACTTGGATGAAAAAACGATTCTTCGCGGCAGGGGATCGTATTCCAGGGACCGTAGGATTAAGGACCTGCCCGAAACGCTACGCGTACTAGTGGCTGTACAAGAATGTAACAACTCTTGTATATATCTCAAAAAAAAAAAAAAAAAAAAAAAAAAAAAAATAAACTAGCCCAAAAAGTCGCAAGTAGCGAAATTAAAAATTTGGGAGCGCGGTGCTTTCAAAAGTAGCCCAATTCGCTACTTGTAGCCCAATCTGGCAACCCTGGCTGCTCCCCGACTCACACACCTGTTACTTATATATACACATTTTGTGTCCGAAATGGTCAAAATTTATGCGTGTATAATTTATTAATATTAAAACAACAATATAATGCTATTAACAGCTCAAATCCTCACTAAACTCTAATCTTTTTCTTTGAAGGTCTTTTTATCTAGTTAAAGCTGTATTTGTAAGGCAAAATGATCACTTAGCATTTCATCCACAGTAAGATAATTCCCCTCTATGCCCTCAGCATTTATCAAACAAGCATAATCTAATCTCCCTCCCCTCAGATGAGTAGGAGAAGGCTCGCCCAGCAGTTGAACATCTTCATGTTCCTGCAAAAACTGGTACCATCTGCAACCATTCCTATTTGCTTTACTCCATCTTAAAGCTGGATGTCTGGCATTAAAATCCCCTACCACAAGTGTATCTTCAGAAAAAGAAAGAATCTGGCAAGTATCTTAAATCAAGGGAGCTATCAGAGATGTATAGATTAATGAAATTTAACTTTTGGTCTTGTAATTGTATCCACAAACTAATACTCTCAATACCTCTATATCTCTGAGGGATTCCAGTTATCTCAGCAGGTATGGTACTTTTGACATAACATGAGACCCCCCCCTAGTTCCTCCATCAGCATATAAGTGAAAACCGTATAGCCATTTAGTCTCAGAATGCTACCATCCCTCTCCCCAGTATGAGTGCTACTATGTCAATATTCTCTCTAAGAGTATAATAGTGTACATCCACCGCTCTAGTTTTTAACCCATTAACGTTCCAAGATAATATTCTCACTCTACTTTCACCCATGATTAATAATAAAACTACCTTTTCCCTGTCCGTCACATTCCATGAGATACGAGAGTACCTTGTTGGAGAAGGTACAAAATGAAGCCAAGAGAATTATCTTAGGATGCCCAAGAAATGCTATGATTGAGATAATGAGGATGGAGTTGAATCTGAAGAGTATTGGGGGATAGAATTTCAGAGATAAATGTAGCCTCTGCCATTAGATTAATGAGAGGTGGGGGAGCTAATGAATTAATCCTCTCGGTTCAAAATGTGGGAAGTAATGAACAATGTATGATAAAGAAGAGAGCATATATGAGTACCTTATGTTCTAATGTTATAAAGTATGATGTTATTACAGAGTGTATTGCTGTGCCCAAGAGAAAATTCAAACCACCATGGGAGGATTGTAATGTAGATGTAGTAATTACTCTCTTGCAAAAGAAAAAAAGTATGTATGAAATAGGAGAGCTGAGGGCAACATATGATTGTATAATTAGAAAATTACCTACAGAAAACACTCTACATGTATATTGTGATGGGTCAGTAGCTAGGGATGGGAAGGCAGGATGTGGAGCCTTGATCAGGGAGTACACTGACATCGGCACTGTAGATACTATTATTGGACGCCGCTTAACTGACAATGTCTCTTCAACGCAGGCTGAACTCCAAGGTGTATTAGCAGGATTACAGGAACTAGTCAAATGTGGTAAAAATGCCTGCTTCTTTATTGACAGCAGAGGAGCGTTAGAGTCTTTAAATAGCAGACACCCAGTACACCAGAATATTGTGATAGAGTGTAGAGAGAATGTTAAGAAATTAGAAAAAACTGGGTATAAAGTAAGATTCATGTGGATCCCTTCACATGTGGGAATACTGTTGAATGAGGTAGTTGATGAGATAGCGAAGAGAGCCATGGAAAAAACTCTTGTTGATGTTGTATGTCAGATAACCTTGAAACAAATAAAAACAAGAATCATGATATACTAAGAGGGTGAAGAAATGGTAAAGAGAATGGCAATGGTGGATAGTAGTACACACTTAAGAATTATTCAATAATAAATACAAATTCGTCCTTCACCTATGGTAGAGTCAATCGGTATTCAACAAACGATCTAATTCCCCTCGTTGGATGAGTGTGCAATCTTGCAACCTTCCCTCAATCCCCCTTTCAACCCCAGTGATTTGTAGCCCGGATGGGGCTACAAATCATGTAGCCCGGATGGGGCTTGATTGGGTTATCTTGCATGGTTAGAAATATGTGATATTACTGCTCAGCATCCTTCATATCTCCTTTATTCTGGACCGAAACGTCGTCGTCCCTTCACCTTCTAGTGTGTGGTCTGGTCAACATACTTTAGCCACGTTATTGTGACTCATCGCCTGCAGAGGAAAGTCTACTTGGAAGAACACAATTTACATGAGATTAAGATTAGGATATAAATATATCTGGCAATACGGTGTTGATGTCAGTGAAAAAGATAAGGAGTGTAAATTATGTAGTATGCCGCACGCCCACACCTTAGAACATTATGTATTAGAGTGTCAACTTATTGATAACTATAGAAATAAGGAAATAAGTAGTGTACCACATCAAATTGTTTGGATGTGTGATAATGGTATGATAGACAGTATTACTTAGGAGCTACAAGAATTTTGCCCCAAGAGTGTAACACTTTTATGCGGTGCTTACTATATTAACATGCAATGTTAAATGGGATTCTTGTACTTATTTGTCTATTTGTACTCACTGAATGTGTGTGCGCCCCTTGAGGGACTTGAAGTTGAGGGGGGTAGAAATAGCCTAAGCTACTCTATCCCTTTGAGATGTATTTCTTTCTTGTCTCAATAAACATACCTGAACTTGAACTTGAGAGTACCTTAGAGACTTCCTCCCAACACCGTAACATTTTTGCTGTCTCCTCACTTGCACAACAACTACTAACATCGAAGGTAATGTTATTCATATATATTTTCTTTTTATATTTCTGTATACCGTTTTACTATAACCTTTGTTTCAACATTTATCACTACAGAAGGTTGAACACCGCCAACACTACTAGAAAGTTCACTTTCTGCGGATTGGAAGAAAACGCTCACAGAGTGGGACTTAATTTATTTTTATAATAATAAATAATAATTAATTATTTATTAAATACAAATAATTAATTAGTAATCATAAGTGATTAAGTCATGCTCTTGTAAAATACTCGTGTAAAATTACTATTAGATGCATATTTTGTTGTTTTAATATTTAATTTATTTGGACATACATTACACCTCAACAAAGAGTAGTACATCCTAGCCAGACGTTTTATGATGATATCCTCAACAGAAAATAAAAAAAAGTAATTGTAGAGCTTCAGTTAGCTAATACCAGCATGGTATAAAACACTTATCATAAGTAACTGGTTTTGTAGATCATTGTTTCAATTCAATTTCTTTATTATGCACCCCATACCCATCCCGCGGGCGGTGGTGTAAAGGATTACAGGGAATTTGGAAGTAATAATAATACAGCTGATGCCATCTGTTGGCAGAAAAGAACACTATCAACAGCCCGATCAAAAGGAGCCACAAGAGACAGCTTATGCCATCTGTTGGCATCAAATTACACCATTAACAAACTACCCTATAAAATACATACAACTAGCGACATCTATTGCGTTTCCCATGTACTACAAATAGCCACACAGCAACCCATAAGACGCTGCGCGTACTAGTGGCTGTACAAGATTGTAAATACTATGCTATGTATTCTCACAAACCCAATGTACCTTCTTGTATATAAATAAATAAATAAATAAATAACACGAGGCACGCAATGCGAGCTTCTTTATTTTGTTGTTGTCTTGTCAGACGTCGACTGCTTGTACATATTTCCAGCTTACAACACAGCGTTTATCAGTGTCACTGTATCCTAAATAAACAATGTTAACGTTAATATACGTTCAAGACCATAATATAATCTCATTGTATGTTAGTATTGGGGAATATGTATGATTTGTCGACTAATTACATTAGTATTTTGTCACGTGTTATCCATTCATCTGGTCATATATAACCGGGTCCCACTGACGAAGTCGTTCACTCGGGGTAAAAGTGAAACATATTTAGAGCGAGAGGAAGCAGCACATTTAGAATCATGGCGGAGGAAATACGTCCAGAGATAAGGCAGAAGACGAGGATCTCTCTTAAGGAAACGTTCAACAAATATATGCCAGAGCTCAATGAGGAAAATTTATACTATGGTGGAGTTATGGTGGCTGTGTTGGTTGGTCTCCTCACTCTAGGTAGGCGCCTCGTATTGTCCACAAGTCTTAACATATTGTTAGAATTGGCTAGAGTATATGTATTTTGATGTACTTACAGTAAATAGACATGCAATTGTATGCAAGAATTAATCGTCGAGTGCCAATAAGCATCCTCTACCATTTTCAATAAGTTATACACACACAATATATTATCAGTATGAATGTTTGTTATTTATTGCAGTGTGTATCCAGTACTACAGTATTGTTTATATTTCCATTAGATAATGGCACATTGTGACATTTAATAAAATGCAAGACACCTCTTTGATAACTTATTATATGTGTGTAAATCACGAAAAATAAACACGTGATTATTATACTTATTATATTTCATATTTCAACTCATTATATTTCATATTTCAGTAATTTTGTGGCGTGTGGTGCGTGCAACTAGTAAACGACGGGCAGTGCTGCTTATGGGACTATGTGAATCTGGCAAGACTCAGCTATTTTCACAGTTGTGTTATGGAACTGATGTTCTCTCTGTTACTTCCATCAAAGAATCTGTTGGAGAATTTGTGCTCGGAAAGGTACTTATTTTATTAGAGTTTGCTTAATACAGTATTTTTCATAGATAAATATAGCAACTGTACAAGTAAACTCAAGACATACAGTGTGAGTCTTTTTAGTTCATGAGTTTTTAGTTTATTACTGGATCTCAATTAAGTTCTTGCAGTTAAAGATAGTAATTTTCTCATAAAAGCTTTAACTTATCTTTAAAGATTGTGTGAATTTTCTCCATTTAAGAACTGACAAGACAGAAATATTCAGCTCCTCTTTATATCTGTTCGATGGCCAATGTGTTTCAAAAATGCAAAAGGAAGGTGTATGATATTATTGCTTGATCACCTCCACACATTTTGATCTAATATCTCACATATACAGACTCTTTAATTATGTTGTTTTACCTTTGTCTATGGCCTAATCTACCTACAGTATATTGTTTTATTCTAATCAGGGATTTCATTGAACCAATTACCTTCTTTCTCAAACTTGTTCTACCCTAAATTTGGCTTGCATAAATTTGTACTCGTTATTTAATTTTTGTTGTGTACTGAGATATTGACTGTCTACAACCCATCTTATTTCATGTTTACATCCAAACACTGTCCTAGATAATATTAGAATTACTGGAAGACCTAAATAATAATGATGAAGTGTGAGAATATGATAAGACAATTTAACAGTGGCCCTGCAACCCGTCACTTCAAATTTTCAAGGTGACACTCTTGTGAAACTTGATTGAATGCTGTGGACTGGGAATCCATGGTCTGTGTAGTCACACTATGTTTAGGAAGGTGAGCTAGATTGTTAGGCAGAATGTTTTTTTATGAACCCATGTTATGATGCTTTGGGAAGACTATTGTTCAAATAATGTACATTCACTTAATATAATTTTTTTTTACAGAAATTTTTACCTATTTATGATCTTCCTGGACATGAACGAATTCGTTCTGCTCTGTTTGAAAAGGTGAAGAAGTTAGCTCGTGGCATTATCTTTGTCCTGGATTCTGCTACTATTCAGAAGGATGTTCGGGATGTTGCAGAGTAAGTGAGTCAATACAACACTATTTTGCTTGCTACACTTTAGTTAAAATGGAAGAGGAAGGTTCTTTGAGTTGCTTTGTTGGATTTTTAATATACAAATCTGTACTATTGCTCATAATAATAATAATAATAATAATAATAATGACCATGTCGTGGCCTTATTGTCTGGGGCGTGTGCGTGGGACTTCCCACCGCATAGATTTGAATCCTCATCATGGATCTTACAGATTTTCTCAATAATAATAATAATAATAATAATAAATACAAATATTTATAAAAGAGACTGAATAAAATTGAGTTGAATTGATTGAATTGACTGATTGAGCAAGTAAAAAAGCAGAAGTTTATGTAAATAATTTCTGAAGAATACAATATTTATTAAAAAGTTCAGCATTTTCAGAATGAACATATAAAGGGTGAGGAATGGTGAAATTACTGGAGAGATGATTTAAAGAATGTTTCCCGATATATTATTGTGTCTGAAGTAAACATTGCAGGATAGAACAGAAATTAGAAATGTAGTAGAAATTAATGTAGAGTACAGTATATGAAAGTGTTATAAAGAAAATGTTTCAATATGTTTTGTGATACTTTGCATGGCCTACATTTCTTTTGTTAACATGCATATGGCATACTGTACTTTTATGGTGTGGAGGTTAAAAATGGCTTTAGTGTTGTGATACTAGTTTCTGGATTGAAATGAAGAGAGATTAAGAAAAGTCAGGTTTTACTGCAAATGTCTTTTGCGCTTTCTTCACCTAATATTGTTGCAGTCAGTTTGTTGGCAATGTAGTGGAGAGTCGTAGTAGTTGAGACAAAGCTTGGAACTGGGCAGAGAGCATGCGTGAGGATGGGGATAGAGAGCTTAAAATTTTCTTGCCTTCCTGATAAATATTGAACATAGTCTTTTTACCTTGCTATAGTTATTTAATCAATATTATAACAAGTGAGCAAGTCTTGTGTATTTACTGACTATATTTCTATATTTTGATTCATTCTAGGTTTCTCTACACAATTTTGTGTGATGGAAGTGTACAGAGCGGGACATTAAGAGTGCTGGTGGTTTGCAACAAACAGGACCTCAAACTGGCCAAGGCGGCACCACTCATACAGAAGACACTTGAGAAGGAAATGTATGTTAAATCTCATTATTATACAATTGGCTTGAACCCCTTATTAAATGTGTTAAAAATTGGTGCTATAGGTTTTAACAAAATGTCATTTAAAGTGTTACTGAGCACTCTCATTTTGTTGCTTGCTAAGGTAAGTTTCAACTTTAAATAGGAAGTGAAACCTGCAGTTAGGCAGAGTGCATTCTGGGCCTGATGCCACAGGGAACTTATCAAGCAGTCTCTGGAAGAACATAGTACGAGTTTGGTACTATGGAACAAGTAGAAAACCATCCAGTTAAAGTGTCAGTATAATGCTTATCTGAATATTTTCACATTTGAAATAGGTATTAGCACCACAAATACCTATTGGGACAAATATAACAAGCCTCCTTTGACCACTTTCTTATCCTTTAAATTAATATTTGTCTCTTGATCCTACTGCTATACTGTACTGTCACTTTCTCATTAATTGGTATTGATCATTGCAAGTTATTTAGAACTGGGTTCAGATCCACCTTCAACAGGGAGCACATCCTACCATTACCTCTTCATGGTGCCTCTTGAGCAATACTAGCAACACAGCCACATTACATACACAAGAAAAACACAACATATAGCACTTAACAACATAACTGATTTCAGTACCCAATCTCAGGCCTAAATAACAATATAATTAATCCAAACTTAACTATAAGTTCACTATAAAACAAATTCCTCTCTTCCTTGTGCATGTTGCTACAAAAACACACATAACGTTCATGCATTCCTTTGTTCTGTAATGCTAGAGTTGTTAATACTGGTATTCTTCAAATTACTCATTTTCATTTGAATCATTCACCTTTCATTACTATTAAATTTTCATTCTCAATTGTGTTTGGAGGAGCTCATGTGCATGATGCAACCGCTACTTGGAGCTTAGTGTAGTTTTCTCACCATGTTAGCATTGAGTGCTAAATATCAAGTATATGTACGGTTTGCTAAAGGTCATGCTGAACCCGCATTAAAGTAAGATTGTGCCTGCACATTTACAACCTGGCATATGTGGTTATCCATGGACCTCCTAATCTTTATTACTCAAAACCACACAAATTGACTGTATTTTTCCTGGGCTGGGGCTGCTTCCTGCGCAAGTAAGAAATGAGATAATGATAATGTGTATTTATTATCTTGTTCTTTCTGCATCAATATTTTTTACTGTATTTTAAACATTTTACTTGTATTATTGTAATAGTTCTGTAATGTTTTAATTGCCCTTGATAGGAATTTGCTGCGAGTGACGAGAGCCAGGCAGCTGCAGGCGGTGGGTGAGGCCAGCAACAACAATACCTTCTTAGGCCGGCAGGGACAAGACTTTGAGTTCAGTCATCTTGGAAACCTGAAGGTCGAATTTGTAGAGACTGTAGCCAAAGGAGGGGAAAAATTGGGACCTGTCACATCATGGCTGCAACAGATTGCTTAATACAAAGCTGAAATTATGAGTATTAAACAGATCTTAAACACTTTTTTGTAAACAGGTGAGAAACACTTGAAGCAGCCCAGATAATGATGATGGTGTGTAAAATAACTAGTAAGACTGTATTGCCTCAAATTGTGACAGCACTGAATATAAGAAAACAGTATAATGAAGAATTGTTTGAGTTTATCCAAAAGTATGTGGGAGATACAGCACTCTGGTTGAATAAATATGCCCTATGATCTCATTTAGTCACACATACAGTGTGCATGACACAACAGCTCATGTATGCCTACTAAATATGAAATGAACAACAGTACATTTTTTGCTATTCTTTCCAGATTATTGAAAATGTGTGTTAATACTGTAGTTTGTTTAGCGTGTGCAATTTAATACATTAGTTGCCTCCTCATGCCTCCCTTAGTACAGTACTGGCAAGATATGGTGTTGGTTTAGTTTTATATATGTAATATTGTATTGCAGTTAATATGCAAGGTCAACACCCTATAGAATATCACAAAATTTTAGGGATTTTTGTGAAGAAAATGCAGATAATAATATCACAAAATTTTAGGGATTTTTGTGAAGAAAATGCAATTCAAACATTTGCTCTATGTTCAGAATTTAACTAAGAGTATAAGAGGATTTAGCAATAAATTAACAATAGAATACATGATTGGTGGTGTGGTGCTAAGAGTATAAGAGGATTTTTATAGCAATAAATTAACAATAGAATACATGATTGGTGGTGTTGCCTTGTATACCATTTCACATTACAAAATACAGCACTAAGCTGTTACCCTTGTCTCTTTGGGGTTGGTCGCTTCGGGTGACTCGTCTGCTGAGTTCTCGGGGTTTGGCTCTCCTGGCGGTTCACGTACGGGGCGTGTCCAACGTCTTGGCCGACGCCCTGTCTCGCTTCGTTCCCCTCTCCACGGAGTGGACGGTCGACGACGAGTCCTTCCGTTGGCTTTGCCAGACGTTCGGGCGCCCCGAGGTGGACCTCTTCGCGTCGGCGTGGTCGCGGCGTCTTCCCGTTTATGCGGCGCCCTTCCCCGATTGCGAGGCCGTCGGGGTCGATGCCTTTCGGCTCGACTGGTCGAGGTGGGGGTTCCTGTACCTCTTTCCCCCAGTTCGGCTGTTGCTCCAGGTCCTGACTCGCTTAGAGACTTACCAGGGGAGAGTTGTCCTTCTGGCCCCTTGGTGGCCGGCCCAGCCTTGGTTTCAGGCGCTGGTTGCTCGGTGTCCGAACCCGAGGGTTTTCCCGCGGCTCCGCCTCTTTCAGCAGATCGGGCCGGTAAGGTCAACACCCTATAGAATATCACAAAATTTTAGGGATTTTTGTGAAGAAAATGCAGATAATAATTCAAACATTTGCTCTATGTTCAGAATTTATTTGGTGACTAAGAGTATAAGAGGATTTTTATAGCAATAAATTAACAATAGAATACATGATTGGTGGTGTTGCCTTGTATACCATTTCACATTACAAAATACAGCACTAAGCTGTTACTTAATTATGCATTTGAAATGAATATAATGATTATGTAAAACATTTGATTCATAAACTGTATTTTTTTAGTAAAGTATCTCGCTTATCTCTCCTGTTTATTAACAAGAAGCAGCATGTATGAAACAGTAACATTTGAATTATACTGTATTTTCTATCATGACAATGTATACAAAATGAAGAGAATCACCATAGTAGAATTTATTTGTGGATAAAATTTTGCTCTTTTTCCTTGATGTCCAAAGGGATTGGAAAGGATGGGGGAGGTAGAGGGATGGGGAGATGAAATTCAGGAAGAGGATGCGGGTGTAGAGAGAGAGGAGGTTTGAAAGTTCGGTGGCCTGTCCACCATGGGTTGACGTGTATGTGTCGTTTGTTTGCGTATGTGTTATGGTGGGTTGTCAGTACAACCCAACATAACACATGTTGTCAGTTGCGTATGTGTTATGTTGGGCTGGGGGGGCTAGTGTTTGTGACCTTGCTGGTGTACTAGAGCCGATGGAGTTGGCTGAAGGAGGTTAATCTTAGCAACATTAGGGTAGTTACACTTCTGATAGCACGACAAAGGGTTTTTTGGTTTTTGCTGGTATGGACTTCATAAAATCTTATTTACAAAACTTGATAAAACCCCTCAAAGAAATTTTTTGTTATCAACAGTACTGTATTCACAACTTGGTCTTTCTGTATATTTTAGCCTTTTTGGAAAGTGAAGTTGGCAAGATAATGTACTAATAAATATGAAAATAAATATATATATGTGCCTTAACTCAAGCTGAGGATCATCGACTTGAAATTCATTGCAGCATAAAAATAGGAAATACATTTTTAATAGCAATGTTAGCCCAGAGGTTGAGATGCATAATGCCAGCATGGGAGAACCATGGTTTACCAGAGGTGTGAGGCTTTGATGCATTATGGTACAGCATCTAGAATTGGTTTTGGAAAATACAAAATAACTGGGAAGGTCACAAGATAGACAAGCTTAGAAGATTTTTGCAGTTAACATGCAGCAAAATTCTCATTGATCTGAATATCATGTGCTTCCACATTAACTAAAATGTGTATGTCCTGCATTTGCTTGCATAGACTTGCATAGAGGTATCTGATAAAATACTGTATTCACTTTTAACTTATTAGATAAAAAAAAAATGTTAAAATGTCATTGTTTGTAATAAATTAAAAGTGTAATTCGTGTTTATTTTTGTCCATTTTATGTGTTAACACCATAGTCCATCATACATTGTAACGGTGAACTAGTTCCCTCTCATACACAGTAGTAGGACTGGCACTTTCCTTTGATTACTTATTCACAGTACTCCGACCAAATGTTTTCAAGAAGGCTCCCTCAGTAGCTCTCTCAGCTTCAGTGTTGGTATTGCACTGAGCTTCCAAGACCCACCCTAGTCTACGAGAAGCCAGGCCCAGAATCTGGATATCTATTACAAGGTCAGAAGAGTTAAAACACCTTGAATGACCAGATTACAATGGCAGTAGATTTAGTTTCCCATTGATCCCATTTAGTTTCTCAAGATAACCTCAAGATCCCCCTTAAATTGGATATCATTAGTTTCACACTCATACCACTTTTTACCTGTACCTTGAATTGTGCTGTATAGCCATACTGGCTTAGCACACCTAATTACACCAGCTCATCTGTATGGTAGATGGGTAGATGATAGAGCGACTGTCTCGCTTCATGCTGGTCGACATTCAATCCCGACCATCCAAGTGGTTGGACACCATTTCTTTGCACTGTCCGATTACAAATCCTTATCCTGATCCCTTTCAAGTGCTATATAGTCGTGTGGCTTGGCACTTTTTCATGATAGTGCCTTCCCTTTACTTATACTACCAACCTCATCCACACAGTTTGTCAATATGGCAAACCCCTGTACGATGTCATCTCACCTATTTTGTGCTTGCGGGGGTTGAGCTCTGGCACTGTGACCTATGCATCCTGTACTGGTATTGGCACAAGGATCCCAAACTGAAGAGCTTGCTATTGGGTGCTGGTCTGTGGCACTTTTTATTATATTATATATTTAATATAATGTTTAATGACTACAAAAAATACAGAGGCTTCACCCAGAACAACATTTGAATAATATAATTATTATACTTTTAAATCTTACTGTGTGAAGGTAATCATAATTTGCTTAAATTTTGACAATTTAACATTAATGGGAATATTAATTTCATATTTGTTTTTCGGGAATAAGGTTTCCTTTTTTTATTAGCCATCGGTAATAAAATGTGTAATTTATCTACTCTTGTTTTTTTCCAAGAAATCTTGGAGAGTCATATACAGTACTGTATAGTGTAATGTATACAAATAATATTGTTTCATGCACTTTTTATGCACTTATGGGCCTCAATTCTCATTCAAGGGACGAAGACTAACTAACACATTCTCTCCATTTCCAGAGGAAGGTCGACGATACAGTATTTCCAATACTGGAACTTAATTTAATGGTCAACTCTGCAGAAAAAATTCTTCTTGCTGTAATAAACACAGGAGAGGTGAAAGTTTATTTGTTAAAATTAACGTCAGCCGAGCCTGCTAACCCAACTCCACCTCTCGCACTAATGTTATGCCTCCAGGCCACATACTGCTGCTGACATGTAATACGCGATAGATTATTTTAATGGTTAGTTATTAATATTTTTACCGTGCGAGACACGACAGAGACACGTCCAGTATAATAGATAAATGTGGCCTAGAGCAGAATACCAGTAAATGCTTGGAGCACACCAATGGTCTGTGACAGAGAGAACTCAAGCCTATAACAGAATAGTAGCCTATAACATATACCCCTGTAATTGAAAGTAGCCTATAAGAGAGAATAGTAGTCTATAAGAGAGAACAGTAGTCTATAAGAGAGAACAGTAGTCTATAAGAGAGAACAGTAGTCTATAAGAGAGAACAGTTGTCTATAAGAACAGTACCCTATAAGAAAGAACAGTAGCCTATAAGAGAGAATAGTAGTCTATAAGAGAGAACAGTAGTCTATAAGAGAGAACAGTAGTCTATAGTAGAGAGAACAGTAGTCTATAAGAGAGAACAGTAGTCTATAAGAACAGTAGTCTATAAGAGAGAACAGTAGTCTATAAGAGAGAACAGTAGTCTATAAGAGAGAGCAGTAGTCTATAAGAGAACAGTAGTCTATAAGAGAGAACAGTAGTCTATAAGAGAGAACAGTAGTCTATAAGAGAGAACAGTAGTCTATAAGAGAACAGTACCCTATAAGAGAGAACAGTAGTCTATAAGAGAGAGAACAGTAGTCTATAAGAGAGAACAGTAGTCTATAAGAGAGAACAGTAGTCTATAAGAGAGAACAGTAGTCTATAAGAGAGAACAGTAGTCTATAGAGAGAACAGAGCAGTAGTCTAGTCTATAAGAGAGAACAGTAGTCTATAAGAGAGAACAGTAGTCTATAAGAGAGAACAGTAGTCTATAAGAGAGAACAGTAGTCTATAAGAGAGAACAGTAGTCTATAAGAGAGAACAGTAGTCTATAAGAGAGAACAGTAGTCTATAAGAGAGAACAGTAGTCTATAAGAGAGAACAGTAGTCTATAAGAGAGAACAGTAGTCTATAAGAGAGAACAGTACCCTATAAGAGAGAACAGTAGTCTATAAGAGAGAACAGTAGTCTATAAGAGAGAACAGTAGTCTATAAGAGAGAACAGTAGCCTATAAGAGAGAACAGTAGCCTATAAGAGAGAACAGTAGCCTATAAGAGAGAACAGTAGCCTATAAGAGAGAACAGTAGCCTATAAGAACAGTAGCCTATAAGAACAGTAGCCTATAAGAGAGAACAGTAGCCTATAAGAGAGAACAGTAGCCTATAAGAACAGTAGCCTATAAGAGAGAACAGTAGCCTATAAGAGAGAACAGTAGCCTATAAGAACAGTAGCCTATAACTGCAGCTGTAACAGTTGACGTGATGGAACAAGTTCCCAGGCGTGACGTCACACAAGTTGAGGTATGCTCCAAGTGACATCAGTAACATACATGATGTCATATTCTAACTGATGCTCTACCCTCAGAGGTCGCCACTACTTCAGGTGTTATCAATAGAGTACCTCACCTGGCGCCAGGATGCCAATTGACCTAAACACTTGTAGGGTCAACGCACCAGCTGATATTAATGCATCAGTTGAAATCAATGTAACAAGCTACATCATCGCAATTAGTGACATCACTGCATTTAGTGACATCAATACAGCAAGTAACGTTAACTGTGCCGTCAATTTACCATGACAATTAACGAGCTTTAGCATCAAATGAAAGCCTTAGAGAGAGAGAGAGAGAGAGAGAGAGAGAGAGAGAGAGAGAGAGAGAGAGAGAGAGAGAGAGAGAGAGAGAGAGAGAGAGAGAGAGAGAGATAAGAAAGGGACCAAAAGTGATCGGGTAATTAGTCAGTTAATTACACAAATGATAATTAGGACTTGTGTTGATAGAGTAGTGTGGGGCCCGGGCCGCAGTGTTGCCCTTGCCGGCGTCACCCCCTTTATCATGCCATCTTCCTACCCTCTATTCCTCCCCCCTGTGGCACTCCTCCAGGCACTCCCCCCTGTGGCACTCCTCCAGGCACTCCCCCCTGTGGCACTCCTCCAGGCACTCCCCATCCCCCCTCCTCCCTTCAGGAAGAACAAGGGGCGCCCTTCGCTAGGCTGAAAATAAAACTGGTAACCCAGAAAATGGGTAACTGAGCGCTCCATCTGATATAAACATTAGACGTTTGGTAACGAAAATGTTGAACGATGCTGAAACTCTGGCAAAGCGAGGCTGAGAGTGTGTCAATATTTGCCGTTGAAATAACTTGCCATCCGTTATCAAATAATTCTTCTTGTGGTTCACTATTAACTGCCTGCAAAATCTAATTCCGAAGGCAAACATGGAAGCGTTTGAAAACCGTTTTAAACAAATTTTCAATATGTAGTCGCGGGGATTGACACACTGTACACACCGCCATTATTAAACTTTGGGGCGACTGCTAGAATTGGTAAGGGGGGGGGGAGGGGACGTTGTGAGGGGACACTGTGAGGGGACGCTGTGAGGGGACACTGTGAGGGACACTGTGAGGGA